CTCGATCTCCGTTCTGTTGTATCACAGGCTATCATCAAACAAGATAATGAGTATCCGGGGGCGAATGGCAGTCGCTTTGCTTACTGTGTACTTAATGAGACAGCACGAAAACTCTTCGGTGTAAACTCTCATACCTTCTATTGGAAGAAACTGGGTCTGTTTGTAAAAGCGGATACACTGGAAGATCTTGCAGCTCTCATCAAGTGTCCGCTAGACACTCTTCGCACTACACTTGTGGAGTATGAGGAGCTCTCAAAGGCCTCCCGCACTTGTCCATGGACCCGAAAGAGTGTATACCCATGTGTTCTCGGTCCACAAGGTCCTTTCTATGTTGCCTTTGTTACCCCATCTATTCACTACACTATGGGTGGATGCCTTATTTCCCCATCAGCAGAGATGCAGATGGGCGACAATTCTTCAACACCTCACTTTGGTAGCCGTCGTCCGGTCCTCGGATTGTTTGGAGCAGGTGAAGTAACAGGAGGTGTTCATGGTGGTAATCGACTTGGTGGTAATTCTCTACTGGAGTGTGTGGTATTTGGAAAGATTGCGGGTGATCGTGCAGCAACAATTTTGCAGAAGAAGGCCACTCCATTATCGTTCACATCGTGGACGACAGTGGTTTTGCGTGAGGTACGTGAGGGTGGTATGTATGGTGCTGGTTCTCGTGTATTACGTTTTAACCTTCCTGGTGCCTTACAACGTTCTGGTTTAAGTCTTGGTCAATTTATTGCTATCAGGGGTGAATGGGATGGAAGACAACTTATTGGATATTACAGTCCTATTACATTACCAGATGATCTTGGTGTGATTGGTATTTTGGCAAGGAGTGATAAGGGAACGCTGAAGGAATGGATATCTGCTCTTCAGCCTGGTGATGCTGTGGAAATGAAGGGATGTGGCGGTCTTGTGATTGAGCGTCGCTTCAGCGAACGTAACCTTTACTTCGCTGGACATGTAATTAAGAAACTTTGCCTCATCGCTGGTGGTACAGGTGTAGCACCAATGCTACAAATTATTCGTGCTGCCCTTAAGAAGCCATTTATTGATACCATTGAAAGTGTACGTCTCATCTACGCCGCTGAGGATGTCTCTGAATTGACGTACCGTGAAGTGCTTGAGCAGCATCAGAGGGAATCAAAGGGTAAGTTCCGTACAACTTTCGTTCTGAATCGACCACCGGCAATGTGGACTGATGGTGTTGGGTTCATTGATAAGGAAATCCTAAAGGCCAACGTGCAACCACCAGCAGATAACCTCTTGGTAGCAATCTGTGGTCCACCAGTGATGCAACGTGTTATTAAAATGACTTTGAAGGGTCTTGGACACAACATGCATCTGGTTCGTACGGTTGACGAAGTTGACCCTCAAACAGCATCCAAGATGTAATTTTTCTGTTGGTTGAACCGTTGTACTTCTCTCTACGTACTTCGTTTTCTTTTTTCTTCTTTTTTTAATTCTTTTCTTTACGTATATGCACGTTGTTGTTTTTGTTACTTGTTTTTTTTTTTGTTTTTTTGTTTCTTTCGTTCGTGATTATGCATGGTTTGGGCGAGTACCAAAGTGGAATGAATAAACAGCAACAAAAACCATGATAATGAGGATCCTGTAGCTGCCGGGATACCTTGATATCTGGAATGGTAGTGGTCAATACCTTAAAGGAAATGTTTGCTTTTCACTTTTTACCCTTCTCAATAACATCACTGCAAAAAAAAAAAAAAAAAAATTCTTGTTCAACCTCGGCAGTACATCTTTTTCACCACTTTCGCCGCCGTGAAAATAATCATTACGCAAGCACACAGAGACACACACACGCAGAGAGAGAGAGAGAGACACACACACACACACTGAAACATAGAAATATAGACGAAGAAAGCTGGGGGAATATATGGACGTGTATGTACACCCACGTGCAAATATGAGGCAGAGTGTAAACAGATAGAAAACATGTATGTAGATGTCAGGCAAAAGTAGCCCTTTAGGAGTAAAAATTATTTTTATTATGTTTCTTGTCTTCACGGTAAGCTGTATTGAATGGGCAAAAACTTTATTGTTTGCCATGGTTTGGTAAAGCATATTTCTTTTTTTTTTTTTCGTTCTATTTGTGTGCATCCGTGTTCCTCTGCTACTCTGTGTGTGTGTCTATGAATTCCATCCCACGACCCCGCCAAGAAAACCAGAATGAGTAAAATTCTATTGGCAAGGCAAAAGAAACCTTGGTCTTGAAAATGTCTACTGTGCAATTTTTTTCTTTTATTGAAAATATGGATGGGGTCATCTATCTGTGTAAGCGTATACTTTCTCATAATTTATTTTTTTTGTTTTCCTTTTACTTTCATTCTTATCCGCACGATTGTCATTACTCTTGTTGTGTTTTCTTTTTTCTCTTTTTTCTTCTTTTATCCGTGCTTTTGTGCGCGTTTGTGACACAATCGAGAACGACGCTTGTTTGCTTATTACAACGCGTGACAAAAAAAAAATTATTGTATAAATATATTTATATAAATTTGTTCAAAATATTGATTTGTCGATTGTACAAAATTACCTATTAATGTATTCATATAACTATAGAAAGGATCGTAGACAATCACAATTAATTAATAGTAAACATTTCAACACTTGCCCTCGAAATCAGGAAATTTGTTTATCACACAGAGTTACTCGTATTTTTTTAATACTCTTATTAAGCACCATACTTCTCGCCGAGGCGGTTATCTTCTCCATGGAAGGCAATCTGAACAATTATCACAATGATGCTATTGATGAGCTCATGTTAACAAGCGGGCGTCATGCGGTCGTTATTGTTGTTGGTGGTGGACTTGCTGGTCAATCTGCCGCTATTGAGGCTGCAAACTGTGGTGCTCAAGTAATCCTCATCGAAAAAGAATCCAAACTTGGTGGTAATAGTGCCAAAGCTACATCTGGTATTAATGCCTGGGGTACTCGGGCGCAAGCAAAGGCAAGTATCATGGATGGAGGAAAGTACTTTGAGCGAGACACCTTCAAGTCAGGTATAGGTGGTAACACAGATCCTAGTCTTGTTAAGGTGTTATCGGTGAAAAGTGCAGATGCCATTCGTTGGTTGACGTGTCTTGGTGTTCCATTGACAGTACTCTCACAGCTTGGAGGACACAGCCGTAAACGTACACACCGCGCTCCCGATAAATCGGACGGAACTCCAGTACCCATTGGTTTTACCATTATGCAAACACTTGAGCGACACATCCGTAATAATCTTTCTGATCACATCACAATTATGGAGAATACTTCCGTAACGGCATTGCTGCATGAGAGCAAAACACGTCCTGATGGTGTTGTCCAGGTGAGGGTCAAGGGTGTAGAGATCACACAGAACGATGGGGAGAAGACACAGTTGTTGGCAGATGCCGTCATTCTTGCTACTGGTGGTTTCTCTAACGACAAGACCGCCAATTCACTCCTTCAGAAGTACGCACCGCAGCTCTCCAAATACCCCACGACCAACGGCCCTTGGGCCACTGGTGATGGTGTGAAACTCGCCAGTGCACTTGGTGTCAAGCTTGTGGACATGGACAAGGTACAGCTACACCCGACAGGTCTTATTGACCCTAAAGATCCGGCAAACCCAACGAAGTTCCTTGGCCCAGAGGCACTTCGTGGATCTGGTGGTATTCTGTTAAACAAGAAAGGTGAACGTTTTGTAAATGAACTCGATCTCCGTTCTGTTGTATCACAGGCTATCATCAAACAAGATAATGAGTATCCGGGGGCGAATGGCAGTCG